TTATTATTATAATGTACAAACATAAATAATTAGTTATTGTTGGTTGACTGGGATCATTAACAAGAATTATTATAAAAAACAGACATTTCCTGAGCATTAATTTGCAAATGAAAGGCTACCCTAGTGAGATGGTTGATGTTGCATTTGGGACACCAACTCATCAATATCAGGCTGTATGGATGATGTGGCTACACGCAGGATACTTTCCAAATGTTCATCAATCAATCACAAAACTGCAACATTAACAACTTACAGTACGTACTGGTAATCACAAATCAACCAAAACCAATGAAGTCACAACGGAGACTGGTGAGGCAGCGGTACTGACAGGCGAGAGCACACGTACCATGCTACAGTACGTGAACCATACGTGTCAGACTCATAGACAGACAGCCAATGATCATTCAATCTAATAATTAAAAATGTCAAGTAATATATTATTTTCTGTTCTAATATAATCAAAATCTGTACCTTAGTGAACGAAATAAAAAAATATGGTGATACTGGTACACGAGAATATGAATTTTGTCAAACTTTCGGTGGGCTCTACTTGGTAACTCTCTCTCTCTCTCTCTCTCTCTGAGGGCCGCACTATAGTTTATTTATTTTTAGGAGAAAGGGCCGCAATGAAAGCCTTTGAGGGCCGCATGCGGCCCTTGGGTCGCAGGTTGCACAGGGCTGAGTTAGAGTATTGGACTCCGACCCTAGTGGTCCCGAGTTTAATTCCCCGTCGCGGTGGTCGTAAAAATGCCTGCGCTCTGACTGCTGGCTCGAGCCCGAGTCAAACGCAGGTGTCGTAGGGGAAATCACCGCCGCGGCCGAAACGCGGTTGATTAGGAAGGGCATCCAATCAGGCAAGGGTGATACTGCCATATAACCTCTCAATGGTCAATGTCCTACAGTGAAATGAATGGCTGTTAAAAAATAAATAAATAAATAATATAGATATGTATATATGTGTATGTGTGTGTGCGCGACGGGGAATTGAACCCGGGACCACGAGGGTCGGAGTCCAGTGCTCTAACCACTGAGCTATCGCGACAGTCATATATATAAATATATATGTATATATATATACATATATATACATATGTATATGTATAATACATATATATATATATATATATATATATATATATATATATATATATGTATATATATATATGCATATATATATATATATATATAATGCATATATATATATACATATATATATATATATATATATATATATATATATATATATATATATATATATAATACATATGCATATGTGTGTATATATATGTATTTTTATATATATATATATATATATATATATATATATATATATATATATATATTATATATTTAAACACACACATAAACATATACACACGTATACACGCGTACATACACACGCACCCCCCCCCCACCTCCACCCACACGCACATATAGATATATATATATATATATATATATACATATATATATATATATATGTATATATATACATAAGGGACTGTTCACATATTATGTCAGCAGGTTTTTGGGACTTTTGAGCCCCCTCCCCTCCCTTGTCAGCACGTGTCAGCTAGAGTTACCCCCCCCCCCTTGTGCTGACGTTAGATTTTCCTCACCCCCCCCTTGTTAAGTAAAATAAACATATTCAGCTTAAACAATACCGTTGAGTTTTCAAAACAAAACAAACGCTCTGCAATTATTGGAGACAATTTCCAGTAACATCTTGTACTTTCAGATGGGTGGGAATCCAGTAAAATGAAGGGAGTGTAAGAATGAAAATACTATGAG